GTGACATCAGCTGTTCCGGATAGGTTAGTGTACCCTACCTCGCAAGCGACACCTGCCACCATGATTGTTGTTGGGTGTAGCTCAAATTGAGTCGTCTTATTTTTTTCTTTGATCACCCTATACGACTAGGAGGGGTGTATATACAAGTCTCGTAAATATTCACTGTGTAACTTAACTACCGATAACATTTTTCAGAACAAAAATCCTACACTCTTTCGTCTGTTATTGATGAAAAAGTACAATTGTTTAATTTATGTTTAGATTAAAACAACGTTAAATCTTGTTTTATTTGTCTTTACTTCCGACAATGAAAATAGCTTGTTCATGTAACTGTAGACGATTTGCAATTTGAGAGGTGATATAAGAAAGTGAAATTAAGTTCAAATCTATAATAATGTCGTCGTCGGAATCTATTTGATTGTAGTCGAACTGGACATCGGATTTGCAATCTGAAAATTGAAACTTGTAGCTTGCAGCTTTATCGTAAGTTTGTGTAGAAGGTGGTCTTTATTTATTGTAGAAGAACCGTACGTTAGATTTGCAATCTGAAATGTGAAATGCAGCTCTATCCTAGTTTGGGTAGCAGGTAGTCTTTATTGTAGATGAAGCGTACGTGAGATTTGATTTGAAAAGTTGTTATAAAGCCTATACGAATAGCAGGAATAACTGAAAGGCATCAGAAACACCAAACAAGAAGAAATATTGTATAACAATCTGCCGTGGAATTATGATGGCATAGTTTTTTTTTAGCTATTTCTTAAACTGGCAATGTACATGGCTGATTACCAGGTGAAGGCTATGAACTTTTTGTCTTTCCCATAATTTTAAATCATTTGAGTGACAGTTAATATTCTGTCACAATTTATAGCATTTGATCCGATAGAAATATAACACAAACTGCCGCGAGAAAACACAATTATTTCAAAACAATTTCCTTGTATTCCATACCTCCAATTTCCTCGCATTTACGTCACTATTGTAAATTGAAGCTATCATATTAATTTTGGCAGTGACCTTTCGTACAATAATTATATGTTTAAAGGGGTTGTTTAGAGGGTTTTTTATGTGTATCGGGGACACTGCCAGCATCAATTTGCACCATTCCAACTTTCAATTAGACGTCTGTGGTTCCTGCTATTCCACTAAAAGTCTTTAATGACGTCAATAATCCTGAAGGGCCTTACGTGATAAAGCAAATTTGGAATTAGTGACGTAAATACAGGAACCATAGACGTCGGATTGAAAATTTGGATGGTGCAAATTGTTGTAATCATTGTCTCCGATTCACATAAAAAAGTCAGAAAACCTTTTTACAACCCCTTTAAGTGAGGTCTGTTAATAGGACACTGAAGGGAAATCTATATGACGACATTTTTTACCATTGATTTGTTGGATAAACTCCCAGATCCTTAGGCATTATTTAGTTGACTACAAAACAGTGTAGAGTAATTTTTTTTCTGCTCTATAATTTATCTTAATCGGAGAACAATACAGTTAAATGCGGATATTTTTCTATGGGAAAACTTTCATACAACGGAGGAACTTGACAAATTTCCAGTCAGTACATATATATATATATATATATGAAGGCTGAAACCGTTATACTTGAATGATAAAATAACTGTTTCTCATCTGTGTTTAATTTTTTTATTAGGCTATTATAGAATTACCTCCCCTGAACAAGAAATATCAGTACTCTTCTTTCTCATCTACGCCCTTCTGACCAGCTTGATGGTGTTTCAACGTGGTATCAAGACAGGCATGACTGCCTTTGAGCTCCCCTTGACAATTTTGTTAGCCCTTCACCTAACGATGCCCAATATACATGGAAACGATGAAATTAAAAGGTCTCTAAAAACATGGTATGCAAATTTTCCGTTCTTATTCCGTCTTTAACAGCCCCATTATATAAACAAATGCAATTTGAACGACTTCTATTTAATATTTTTTTAAATAAACGGCCTAGGCAGTATGAACTTGCTGGATTATTTCGACCGAGCAGTATCATTAATTGAGCCTGGGACAATTGCTGGATTATGTCGACCGAACAGTATCAATTATATTGAGCCTGGGGCAATTGCTGGATTATGTCGACCGACCAGTATCATTTATTGAGCCTAGGACAATTGCTAAATTATGTCGACCGAGCAGTATCATTTTTTAAGTCTCGGGCAATTGCTGGATTATGTCGACCGAGCAGTATCATTTATTGAGCCTAGGACAATTGCTGGATTATGTCGACCGAGCAGTATCATTTATATTGGCCTGGGACAATTGCTAGAGTATGTCGACCGAGCAGTATCATTTTTTAAGCCTGGGACAATAGCTGGATTATATCGACCGAGCAGTATCATTTATATTGGCCTGGGACAATTGCTAGAGTATGTCGACCGAACAGTATCATTCTTTAAGCCTGGGACAATAGCTGGATTATATCGACTGAGCAGTATCATTTATATTGGCCTGGGACAATTGCTAGAGTATGTCGACCGAGCAGTATCATTTTTTAAGTCTTGGACAATGGCTGGATTATGTCGACCGAGCAGTATCATTTATATTGAGCCTGGGACAAGAGCCTGGGACAATTGGGAAAGACTTGTGTATATTTAACTGTTTTATTCTGTCATTGTACAAAAATGTTTACTACATAATATTACAGTAAGAAGCCTATTGCGAGTTCTAGACTGAATTTACTACAAAAGAAACAATTCTTCGTATACCACACACTGTCTTTCTCGATAATACCTTGCGCAACTACATAAGGGATCTCATTGGTATCTAATCGTAGAAATATTAGAAGATAACCTGAAACAGCTTGTGTTCCTATTGTAGTTTCATATTTAAATCTTTTATAATATTTAAGGCGTTTTTATTTTTGCAAATCGTATCGAGACAGTTCAAATTGTGCATTTATATAAGCGAAGCCTTCGACGATTTTCCTTCAATACACATTTATTTTAGCGATTTGCCAAAGCACTTCGTCCAAATTGATCACAGCGCTTTGGTACGATTTGTTTGAGATTTAGTTGGCGGGCAACATAGACAACAAGTAAAAACATTTCGAGAACTCGCTCTAAGATTATAGGAATAAAGACAAACATATTATTTTTACCGGCGTTTGGAATTTTCTAACAACAAAGAGAAAAATCAATTCAATCCATTTACAGATATTAAACTGTTCAATAATCAGTGTATAGGGATTATTGGGAAGTAAACAAGTAAACATCCCGATGGTCATTGATTTAAAGGGATTGAATTTGTACCAATTGCTGATAATCGACCGTCAAAGCGAGTTGATACGAATGCCTTTAAAATTCGTCAGAAATATTGGATATAAGCTACAGATCAGCTGGGGGTTATGACAAAGTCGCTACATGTATTTTGAACTTAAAAGAGAAAGCTTATAAAGTAAAAACATGCGACATTCAGACCACAACAATCAGTAAGGGTACAACTATGTGGACTGTAAACGACAATGATCTGATAGGCACCTTCATTTGATTTCCGCTCCGTGGCGTATTTTGAGAGACAGTACAATTTCATCCTCTAGGAATACGATGACAGAGTAAGTCCGTGCTCGAATACACCTTCAGATAGATCACTTAGCTAATTAATTTGGTATTTTATCATAATTGATTATAGTAGCTTTATTCGTGGGTATTGGTAATGGAATCATGATTGATATGCGAGTTTTGTGACGTCAGAAAGCTTAATCATCGGAAATGACGCGGGCCGTCAGCAATAGTTGTTGTTCTGCAGGTAAGAGTATAACAATTCAGAGATTTGCCTGTCTACCACAGAACACAAACATTTTGAAACGTTTGACAATGATCTTTCTAAGATTATCTGTTTCCATATAGCGGGAAAAATACAATTGTAGTTTCACGAAAACTTCTTCAACGACCACCATATAGTTCGACGTAACCAAGATTCTAACGCCCAAGCCGACTGTAGCTAATCTTAAGCAGAAAAAGAATACTTGGCGTAACATAAAAGGTTCTGCCAGTTATACGTAGGAGTTGAACGGTTAAAGAAATATGGATCAGAATTAAAAACCTACAACTTAAAGGGATTGTAAGGGGTTTCCTATATTTTTCATGTGTATCCAGGACAATGATAGAATCAATTTGCACCATTTCAATTTAATGTTAGACGTCTCAAAAAATAAGTGTTTGATGACGTCACTACTCGCAAACTATGCTTTATTGCATAAGATCCTTCGCGATTAGTAACGTCATCAAGCACTTAGCTTTAGTGAAATTGCAGGAATCATAGACGTCTGATTGAAAATTGGAATGGTGGAAATTGATGCTATCAGTGTCCCCGATACACATAAAGAATTGTAAAAAAGCTCTTTACAATCTATTTTATATGAAAGAAGTAAGACGTTCTCAATAAAGTGAAGAGGTTTTATCAATTAAAAAAAAACAGAAGCATTACAAGGAACAACATAATGTAGCGGTTCTACCATTTAAAAATGGTTTCCCATATAAAACAACAATACAATACGTACGACTAAATCAAGAGATTTTACTGATTACAACGGAATTGAAGATTTGTTCGGTATAAGACCAAATACAAACAATTCATTATGTCAAACAGAGAAAACAGCTTCTGTTATACACTTTTATGACAGCGCAGCGTTGCTTCCGGTTAAACAGAACCATTCTTGATACAATTTCGAGTTTTCAAGCAACAAATCTATCACCTTGGCATGAATGTGTTATTATTCTTTGATGCCATTCCGTTGTTAGATATACACAGCAAACGTTAGACTGATGATCAAAACCATAATACAAATTCATATTTCAGATGCGACACCATTGTTGTTTGTATGTCCAAAACTTAAAATATTTCACACAGTCTTTGAAAATCTACCCATGCCAGGCATACCATTTACTGTTAACATTATAATTCGTGTTGGTAACAAAGATTTTGCTCGTTATAGTTTAAGCCGAGCAATAAAAAACAAAGTGACATCACTGAGAAAAACCAACTTGTTACCGCCGTCGTCCCAATCCAAAACGCATTGTAGACACACGGAATCCACATATCCTTCCTGTTCTAAGATATTCAATGATTGTCTGAATGGTGATTCTTGTGGTATCACAATTATAGTCCTGGCGCTTTCTAATTCCGGAATCTTGTTCTTTATTTAATGTAGTATAGAGTCTGTTGGAAATGCGCTTCATATTTTCTAGTTTCTTACTATTATGTGGAAAACGTTTTCCGACTAAAATTCTACTTAAAATTTCTGGGTTATTGGCCCATCGTAAACTCCAAAAGAAACTGTCATATTTTCGCTCATTTGGCGACGGCGGAGTTAAGATATTATTCTTGTTTCTGGAACTGTGTTCACTATCGGGATCTGAAATATAAATTATGTAAAATATTATTATCTGGATTGCCTTCTGAATATGACAATAAACCGAGGCCTGTATGCTTCTGACTGTACAGGCTACAGCAAACGGCCTCAACGAAAGTTACGCTAATGCACTGTATAATGAATGGCAGACATTATTTACCAGAACTATGTCAATATTGTGACGTGATCACGTGATTCTGGTAATTGAAATGTCAGAGTCTGGTCGTTCCGGTCTACTGGTGTTTGTAAACAAACAAAACATCCGTAAAATATGTATTAATAAATACAATTGATAATAAAATTTATAATTTGATGACATTAGTAACAATTAAGCATTAAATACATATGAATTATCTCCCAAAGTTTCTAAATTTATTAACTATTCTCACTCAAGAAGACATTACGGAATTCTTTATTCATTACCGAGTTAGATTCAGCTTTACGGAAACTGCCGAGGATTGCCGAATGAGGCTAAAGACAATTGGAAATCGAGAAAGGAGGGCTAATACTACTGTCCTGTCACTGCGTAACGTTGTCTATCTGTCTGTCTGTCTGTCTTCATTATCCCAACCATGAACAAAGCACGTCATTTCGTCAGTGCTGCATGCAGTTGTACTTTTACCTATGTTTTTATAACTTTGTCGCTATTTTGTCAAACTAAATCATAAAATCTGAACACCCTATAGTATCTCTGTTATGTCTTGCAAAATCCATGCCTGTAGGTACCTACTTAGATAGTAATTGTGTTGTTATTTATTGGTTTATGTAGGAAGTGATTGTTGTTTGCCAGAAAGACGAATAACTTTGTATGTAGGGCAAAAGACCGACTTTTGTGACGTCGTGATGTTGATGATGCAACATCATATAAAGGGCTGGACATCCTGTTTCGGGAATAATTTTCAATGAAAGATAGGGGGGGTCATCGCTGGTGGTTCACAGTAATTCTTCGGATCCGTCGCAGTTGATTGAAGCGGCACGTTCGGTCGCAGATGCAAAGCGCTCGAGTCGCCTAAGAACTTCAATTTTCATTAAAAATGCAACTGACGACAGCTGTAATATTTTAGTTGCCGATTTAATCCAGGGATTGATAAAAATTCTCCCATATACCGAATTTCTCTGAGATTCAACATTTTAGATCTGAAGCCTATGTTGACCATAGGTTTTAATGAGCCTTAAAGGGACAGGTGTGCCATTTTTTGACCAATCATACGTTAGTCTCAGAAACGAAATTTTTAAACTAAGCCAATCTGTAATAGTGTTCACAGCTCACTGTCAAAATATGAGCCTTCAAATCCATGTGTGTCCAGAATGATCCGCGATTCAATAACAAAATGACGACTCGTCAATTTAAGATATCCTACTTTGTGATATATAGACAAGAAGTATTTAGAAATAGTGAGTAAAATTTCTAGTATGATGTATTTTTGCAGGAATTATGCGATTTTCGTACATCCCTATTACTTCTGAAGACTAATTACATAATAGTATTCAAAACCCAAATCAACTCACGAAAACGGCGAATCTGTCCCTTTAAAATATTAAGACCTTAAGCCTATCTGGGTCTAAGTATCTTGATCAACGACAAATGACCTTGTTGACAGTTTTCCTTAAAGGCAGAATTATCCCGTGATTAGTTTAAGCCAGGTTAGCAATCAGTTAATTGATTAACTAGAAAATTGATGATGACTGCAGGTGATGACTAGCAGGTGCTAGACAGTCAGCAGCTAGATTAATCTTAATCTGTATAAGTCAGTAATGTCTTGTCAGGAACATTTAACGGGCAGAAGGTGATCAAAGTAGGGTTCTCTGTGCCACATTTCAGCACTAATGGAAACATCCAATAGAAAGCGTAGTATCTCTGGTTATATAAAATTACTTCCGCATCCATGTAATTTGTGCATGATTAAAGTGACAAGCTGCACTTGAAATCCAATATGATTAAAAATGTACATCAAGACTACTTCGTTCCATATCAACAACATGTTCAGAACGCGTTCCATGTGTGCCGAAAATATAGTAGGTACAGACAGAATTCAAAATGACGGAGAAGGAAATAGATGGGATTTTTATAATATGCTTTATCCGCTTTCCTGCAATTCCACTAAAAATAATAAGCGCTTAATGACGTCACTAATTGCCAAATATTTATGCTTTATCACATAAGGCCCTTACTATTTAACGTCATTGCAGGAACCACCAACGTCTGATTGAAAATTGGAATCGTGCAATTTGATGCTATCCGTGTCCCCGATATAAAATACAAAATGCACAAAACCTCTTTACAACCCCTTTCATGCATCACGCAGGCTTAAAAGACAGAAGAATACGTACCTCGCCATCCCAATATACTGAATAGTGAGATAGGGTGTGATTGTCGCTTTCGATGTTGTGATAAAACTTGGCCAATACCCAGCAATAAAATGGTTATTAAAATATCTTTCAACATCCTGCTTCTCTTCTGCTGAAAAAGGTAAAAAGTTTAATGCAACTATCTGCAGAATGAAAGAGGTCAGAGTGAGACAACACGACCCTCCATTCAAGCCTGTGAAATGTCTTTGAAGTGAAAATTAAACCCTCAAAATGCTCAGAATATTCCTCCGTCTCTGAATTATAGTTTTCAGAAGTACTAGAAATGTACAAAAATTGGACGATTCCTTCAAAATTACCCAAAATGTGGAATTTTTCTTTCAATTGCTATTTGGTCTTTTCCTTCCTATATATGGCAGAGTCTTTTGAAAAGACGAGCCGCCTTTTTAACTTTCTAATGCGGATAATTCTGGACACACATGGATTTGAAGGCTAAAATTTCGACATTGAGTTGTGAACACTATTACTGATTAGCTTGGTTAAAAAAATCCGTTTTCGAAACTAATAAGGTTTGATTGTTCAAATGAATGGCGAACCTGTCCTTATGCCTAAAACTGAAAACAATTAATGTCAATAGAGAAAACCTGGTTTTCTAACATCATTTGCTCGTAGCATTTTTGAAAACGACTGATACACATTCATAAAAGACAATACACCCACAGGTTCATTTATTATCAATTTAAATGCATAGAAGTCTTTGATTGTCGCTGAATGAAAGAGTTTTATTGATAAACCCAAAATACAACAACAATACGGAGATCTCATTATTATAACATTTAACGTTCAGTAATGAAATATGCATATTAAAGTAACTGTATAACAAAGTTTTACAATAATGAAATATTTTCACTGTTAAAATAGTGCTCAATACATCAATTGTAGAGTGATATAGAAATACCACTGTTAAAATAGTGCTCAATATATCAATTGTAGAGTGATATAGAAATACCACTGTTAAAATAGTGCTCAATACATCAATTGTAGAGTGATATAGAAATACCACTGTTAAAATAGTGCACAATACATCAATTGTAGAGAGATATAGAAATACCACTGTTAAAATAGTGCACAATACATCAATTGTAGAGAGATATAGAAATACCACTGTTAAAATAGTGCACAATACATCAATTGTAGAGTGATACAGAAATACCGCCGTTGAATAATGCTTAAGACAACAATTGTAGAGCGATACAGAAATACCACTGTTAAAATAGTGCTCAATACATCAATTGTAGAGCGATACAGAAATACCGCCGTTGAATAATGCTTAAGACAACAATTGTAGAGCGATACAGAAATACCACTGTTAAAATAGTGCACAATACATCAATTGTAGAGTGATATAGAAATACCACTGTTAAAATAGTGCTCAATACATCAATTGTAAAGCGATACAGAAATACCACCGTTAAAATAGTGCTCAATACATCAATTGTAGAGCGATACAGAAATACCACCGTTAAAATAGTGCTCAATACATCAATTGTAGAGTGATATAGAAATACCACCGTTAAAATAGTGCTCAATACATCAATTGTAGAGCGATACAGAAATACCACTGTTAAAATAGTGCTCAATACATCAATTGTAGAGCGATACAGAAATACCACTGTTAAAATAGTGCACAATACATCAGTTGTAGAGTGATATAGAAATACCACTGTTAAAATAGTGCTCAATACATCAATTGTAGAGTGATACAGAAATACCACTGTTAAAATAGTGCTCAATACATCAATTGTAGAGTGATATAGAAATACCACTGTTAAAATAGTGCACAATACATCAATTGTAGAGCGATACAGAAATACCACTGTTAAAATAGTGCACAATACATCAATTGTAGAGTGATATAGAAATACCACTGTTAAAATAGTGCTCAATACATCAATTGTAGAGTGATATAGAAATACCACCGTTAAAATAGTGCTCAATACATCAATTGTAGAGTGATATAGAAATACCACCGTTAAAATAGTGCCCAATAGTGTAGAAGTTAATGAAAATACCAAATCTGATATCATAACAAAAGCAAAAATGTGTAATATCTAAGAGCCTGTTATTTTTGCAGATAATAGGCATTAATGATAATAATAATAATATTAACATTTTTATTTTACATAAAGGCCAGCATTAGGTCGAATACACAAGGATTTGGTCCTGTCTAACAATCAGCCCATAGAGACAATACACTGAATGATATGAAAGCTTGTGCATATAGTGGTTTGAAAAAGCAATAATCGATATATCCATATGTATAAATAATTCTCTTGATACAGATTTGACCAGTTATTTGAAGATAGAAAGCGTAAACAAATATGATTATTCTGTAATTAATGTCTGTATTAGTCTTTTATAGTTTTTCTAAGTATATATTGATTACCTGGGCCTACGATTTTATGTCGAAATCTTTTTTTCAATTAAGACTCGTTACGATTACTTTCATTGGAAAACTGAATTATAAATCATGATAGAAAAAATAGAAATATCATCAATATTATACATAACTCCAGATATATATACTAGTGGGTGTTGATCTTATCGCGTATACTATTTTCTTCGTTTGCTTAAGGCCCTGTCACACGGCAAAGGTGTTCTTGCGCTCTGCTACTGCGAAAGAAAAATGGCCCATAGCGTATTAAGGTCGCTATAAGCTTGGTATAAGCGCGTACGAAACACCATACATCATGCAATTGTCGTCACTATTCGCCGAGCCACGGCGTTTATCTTGGACATTTTCGAAACAAACTCCCAGGTTTGGCGATCTATATTCAAAATCTTCATTCGTGTATGAACTTGAAAAAATTGAAAAACATCCTAATTCCAAAAATAGACTTTGAAACTTCAGTTGAAAGCAAACTGACTGTATTTGAAACTATATTATTTGATAACCTTAGTTGAACTTACAGTTGATAAATTTACTATATGTGGAAATTGAACTATACTTGAAACTATATTTGAAAACTGAACTATATTTGAAACTATATTTGAAAACTGAACTATATTTGAAATTCTATTTGAAAACTGAACTATATTTGAAACTATATTTGAAAACTGAACTATATTTGAAACTATATTTGAAAACTGAACTATATTTGAAAACTGAACTATATTTGAAACTATATTTGAAAACTTCGGGCGAACATGCAATTGATATTTTAACGACAAATTTGAAACTGTATTTGAAAAATATCTACTTTTGAAACTATATTTGAAATAAATAACATTTGAAACTATATTTGAAAATGAAGTACATTTGAAACTATACTTGAAAACTATATTTGAGATCAACTAAACATAAGATATAATTTAAAAAATATATTGCAAAGCATTCGAGAATGTAATTTGAAAATTGAAGTATACTTTAGTAATACCTATATATACCTATTATGAAAGTAATATGAAAAAAAAATAGCAACTTTTCAAAAACAAAAATATATTTGAAACTTTATTTGAAATTTAGTTGCAAGTCGTAAATTAAGTATAATATATTTATTTTCAAGTTTAATTTCGCAATGCGGATATACGACTTGTTTAAACCCCGTATATTTTTTCAGTCTGATAGAGTAGGAAGTCCATTGGGAGAGCGAAACAGGTTTTTCATAAATAATGAGACTCTTTCACCATTTTTCAGCTGCGATTTAATAACAATTTAATCAAATTTTCAAATAGAATTAGTTGTCGTCATTACGACGAAAAAAGAAAAATCTGTTAATGAAATCATAAACTATCAAAAAATGATAATTACCTTCAGATAGGAAAATGTAACACATCAGGAAGACATTTTATCTCAAATTACGAAAGAGAATAATACTATTACTACCTTCATGTTTCTATGCGACAAAATTTTTTGATTTTCATTGACGCCTGCGCAGTGGCGGCGCCAGCCTCCTTAGACTGAGAGTACAAATAGAGGACAGACTGACTCAATGGGGGTCGAGGTTGAATTCAAAATGCGGCAACTTTGAGGAGGCTTCTTGTCGCAAGCCTCATGGAGCGTTTGCGAGGGTTCTTACAAGAAACTGTTCGAAATATTGAATTGATTTAGTGCATTCTGGCATATAGTTTTGGGCAAAACCTATAAAAATCTTATTTTCTAAATTTGTTAAAAATATAGCGGGGGTACAATTGGAGGTGCAAATTATTTTCTAGGGAGGGAGGGGGGGGGGGGGGGGTGTGCCCACCTTGTACCCCCATCCACTAGTTTGATGTGTTTACATGTGCTTTCAATCAACAATTCACCCGATCAAAACTAACTGTTGACATCTCACATAACAGAGGAAACTAAATGAATGAATTCAGTCTATAATCGACTGAGCTCAGGTTTAGACTACAAAATCATCACCGGGTCTGTACTGTATGTACAGTACTGTATGTACATAATCTCTCGAACATGGAAGAAACTTGTTATGAGAAATGTCTTAGATAATTGTAAGCTCGTAATCTCTCCATCATGGATATTCTGGTCCATGGTTACATCATTGTACATTTCTCTTATCTCAACATATCTAAGTTATTTTAACCACTAGAAACATGGTACACTAACGCTTTGGTCGGGTCTCTTGCGTCTTCTGGCTGGGAAGAGGTGTAAATCATGAGTATAGGGTGGTCCACAACTATCAATATTGGTTGTCCAAACCTTTTTCTGATACCACAATTTTTTTATGACGGTGACCATCTCAAGCAATGAAAAAAAAATTGAATGGTATCATAATAGAAAATATCCATTACAGATCACAAGTCGGTGTCTTTAATCCTCTGACAGCTTCCGACTACTCCGACAATCATACAGCCCAATTAGAGACTTGATATTCGCGAAATGAAAATTGCGTGTTCATGACTGCAATCAAAAGTTGCAATGTCCTTATCAGGGATGATATTAAACCAAACTTTTATTGCAGCCAGAACCATGGACACGTATTTTTCAATTCGCGAATAAGAAGTCTCAAAATGGGCTGTAGGACTGTCGGAGTAGTCGGAGGCTGTCGGGGGATTTAAGACACCGATCGGAAGTGATCGCAGATAAATCATTTAAAACGTGAACATGGAAATGATGAAAATGCTATGATAGCATGG